ATCGGTTTCTGTTTGTTGGAATGGATGAAAAATGATTATGTGAAAAACAGATTTTTTTTTTATGTGAAAAGGAAAAAGGAGAATTTACAAGAGATGATCATAACAGGGTGAATGTTTAAATATTTTTGAAACATATACAATAAAAGATGCATTACCATTTGTGCCCCTCAATGTACTCCCCCTTTCTTCACACTTACCCGTCATTCATACCACTCTTTGAATAAGAGTGGTATGAATAAGAGTGGTAAGTCTCCTTTCATGTCTTTATGAGGTATGATTAAAATATACAGTGAATGCTGCCATTGAGTGCCAGCCAATGGAAAAGTAGTCTAGATTCATAAAAACATCACAGTAGGTCTTCACCCATTTTATTTATCGGATCATACACTTCGCAACTTCTGGCTCTTCCCAAAAGTGAAATGACCGTAAAATGTAGACAGTTAGAATCAATTCCAGACATCAAGGCAGCTGTGAAAGTAAACTAATGGCACTCTTAGTAAAGAGGACTTCCAGATCTGCTTCAGAGAGTGACAAGAACAATGGAATAAGTGCATTTAAATCAAGGGGGAATATTTTGAGAGCTACTAATTCCAATATTCCTTTTACTAAAATAACATTTTATTTAAACACACACCAGATTTTTATCCCACTTCATATGTCGAGTAGTCTTGATTGATTGATTGATTGATTGGTTCCAGGGGTCAAACTCATGACCTTGCACTTGCCAGGTAGTCTTTATTTTTAAATCAGGCTTTATTTATTTAAAATACTAAAAAGTATCTTAGGAAGGATGCTGCATTAGTCATCTTCACATTTTTGACACAAAAACTGTGGAATTCTACTTATTAGTGGGTTTAATTATCTCAGAGCTCTAAATGTCCCAGTCAAAGAATAGCAGCCTCATTTCTTTGGGCTTCTTGCAATGGAGCCAGACAGGAATAACATGGAGCAGATGTTCTCAGATCATGGGCCTGGAATCATGACCCTAGAAAGACCTACAACATTTCCCAATAGTGTCAAATCTGGGAATAAATCCTTGACATACAGACCACTGGAGGACACTACCTATGTTAAAAGCATAGGAGATATTGTATAAACTCTAAGAATAAGTACTGAAAAAATAATAAGTTCTGAGAAGCAAAGAAAGATTAGAGGATGTTAAAAGTGTAAAGTTCTTGATTTTATACTTGATTTGTATGAATTTACGATAAACTCGTCAATGGCTTTAGAATTTTAGGAGTTCCTCCTAATATTTTCAGAAAGAGAAGAGTTCCTGAGGTTGAATGTGAATCACAGTAGAGGATGGTGAAATCAGAGACTTTCGGAGCCTTATTTGAGCTGAGACAGGATGAAAAAGAAGCCTACAGGTGCAAGAATGTTTTCAGTACCCAGGAAATGACTTCTTACGACAAGAATACAGAAGAAATACACAAGAAAGAAAAGGCCTATGTTCTCACTATATTATTAGGTAACTCAAGGAAGGGGAGCAGGGCAGTGGGCACATCCCAAAATTCATTTGTTGAAACTGATTTGCCAGAGTTACAATGTTAAGAGGTGAGCATTTAGGAAATGATTAGAATGAGAGAAAAACTCCCATGAATAATATCATTGATCTTATAAAAGGTACAAAAGGGGATTCATTCCTTTTCACCATTTGTCCTTTTGCCATGGGAGGACATAGCAAAAACCACAGTCTTTGAAGCAGAAAGTTCTCTCCAAAGACCAGAACCTGCCAATGATTTGACTATTAGCTTCTCAGCCTCCAGAACTGTCAGAAATAAATTGTTGTTACTTATAATTCCTCAGTCTCAGGTGTTATAGCCACATAATCAAAGACACAAACTGATATCACAAGTAGAGTGTTCATGCAACAAATATCAAGAATGGTAGAAATGGCTTCAGAACTGGGTAATGAGCAGAAGGTAAAAAAAAGTTTGGAAGCCCATGCTAGAAAAACGCTACAATGCCAAAAACAGAGAATTAACTGTCTCTTGGGAAATCCTGATTGCTAATTTGACTGATTTAAAAGACTCCTAAAGAGGTGATTGGATTGTGAGGGTGCTAACCTCATAAATGGGTTAATTCACTGATGACCTCATAGCTGAATAGACTCTTAGAAGGTGGGGTCTCACTGAAGGAAGTGGTCCATGGTGGAATGAACTTGGAAATATATCTGGTCTCTGATCCCTTCTTTGGCTTTCTCCTGCTCTTCATTCCCTAGATGCCATGAGTTGAGCATCCCTGTGTCACTGATATTTCTGCCTTACAACCAGCTGACCATGGACCCAAACCCTTAAACCATAGGCCAAAATACACTTGTCCTTCAGTAAATTGTGTATGTTGAGTATTTTGTTCCAGCAGCTGGAAAGCTGACCAATGAAATATTACTACAAGAAGCAGCAGCATCTCCAATGCTACTGTGAATTTTGGAGTCTTGAGAATTAATGCTCTCTCTCTCAGCGACTTTAAACAGCTAATTAAGGAAGGGACTCAACATTCTGTATGTTCCCAAGAAGATTATTAATAGCAGTCATCTATCATTTCTTTATATTATTCTATAAATACAAGAAAATTTATTAGCAGCATAATATATTTCAAGTATTGTTCTAGTTATGTTGCTTATGCTGCAATACAAAAGCTGATTCTGGGGAGGGTTCAAAATAATGGAGCTACAGAGAGATAATTAATCATTAAGAGATTATTTAAGTGGATATGATCAGAATACAAATAAGGGCAGTGCACATAAGGACACTAGTGGCCATTTTACTGATATCTTAGGACAGAGAAATACCATTTTGGGAAACTGGAGGAAAGATCACTTCCATTACAAAAAGGCAAAGAATTTGTCTGAATTGTATCCCCATCCTAATACGTTGTAGGATTAAAAATATACATGCCAAGGATTAAGATAATTGACAAAGTTATCTTTTATCAGTGTATTCAGGGCACTGCACTATCTTTGTAGACTGCTTGTAGTGAAACATAAGAAAAGCGAAATGAATTGAAGACACAATTTATAATGAAAAAAGATATAGAACTTTGAAAAGTTCTGTATTAGATAAACGATAAAAAATTTAAAAGTATAAAAACACCAATGATGTGGCAAAGCAAACATTTGATGAGATTAGTATGGATACAAAGATGCTAGATTCCATTTCACAAAATAACAAAAGACCCCTAAGGTATTTCTGAGATATTTGTAACTGCCATACCCCTTGGTCCAGAATGCCAGGGCCTTTAGATTAGAAAAATTTCAAAGATAAGATCTAGGGAGATCATGAGACTTCAAGACTTGCTGCTCAGAGATATCTCAAGTTGTGCTCAGTGTAGGGTACTTGGTATGGTTTCGGTCGGCCCAGTACTTCCCAGCTACCCAACTTGAGGTTCAAGCAGGCCCAACGGTTATACAGCACCACTCTAGGGGGCATAGTGGTAAACCTGGATGGCACCCTCATTTGTAGATGCACAGAGCACAAGAACTGCAGAGACACAGTTATGTCTACCAGAATTTCAGAAGAGGCTTTGGAGAACTTTGAGAATCAGGCAGAAAACTGTCATAGGAGCCTGCTTACTACATAGAATTCCCACTAGCACCATGCCTAGCAGAACTAGGTAGGAAGACCCATTCCTATAATCCAGGAATTAGAGGCACAGTGTGTGATGTGAGCCTGTGAGAGTTGTGGGCACCCAATACCAATCTCTGAAAGCTACTGTCTGGGCTGTACTCAGCAAGGTCAGGAGTTGAGAACTTCCTGTAATATCCACCCTAAAGTGTCCAGAAGTCAGGAAATGGAGTCAAAGAAAACTTCTCAGTTTTCAAGATTTAATGTTACTTTCTTTTTTCAGTTTTGGACTTACTTTGAACCTATTATTTTTTTTTCTATTTCTCTCTTCTAAAATGGAAATGCTTACTCGATGTTCATCTCACCACTGTATTTTGGAAGGACAAGATTCGATTTACAGACTCACAGATGGAGAAGGAACTTAATACAGAATGAATTATAGTTTGAGCCTCCCTGATACCTAATTTAGATAAGACTGGATGTTAGACTTCTGGGTTAGCGATAGAATGAGTTAAAGCATTAAGGACATTTTAGAAGAAATACTTTGCTCATGGAAAGGACATGAATATTTAGAGGGATAGGAGTAGAAATTCTATGGTCTCAATGTATTCCCACAAATTTCGTATGTTGCAACTTTAATAGCCAAGAAAGAGAAATCCAATGTTGGAACTTCTTTCTACTTAATGGGGACTTTTCAAAGGAATTAATCTAAACATTGTTAAAACCACTTCATATTTTTAAAACTATAATTCATCTTTTCTGCCTACACTCCATGGAGATCAAGCTTTCCCTGTTGAGTCCCATCTTTCCAAGATGGCTTTACAAATTTGGGTGACAAGTAGCTGAGGTTGTAGCAACTAGCCATTTGCTTTGCTTAACCAAAGTGAAGTTCCTCTCAACTATGAGAAGTTAGGGTTGCTGTTACCCATGAAATGATAGTAGCTATCTGATACAGGAGTCTTCAGTGTATATAGGTTAATGGACTCAGCAAAAGAAGAGCACATGGCAAGGCTTTGTTCTAATACTATCTGGTTAAAGAAATGTCAGAGAACATAAAGGAAAAACTTTTTCTTCTCCTAGGAAAGGTTCTTTGTTGATAGCAAGCAAGATCTAGAATTATTTGGACCAACACTAGAAATATTCACAGCACAAAATAATTCTTGAAGAGATATAGAGTGCCTTAACTTTTATGTCTGTCTTACTTAGACCATCACAAGAAAGATTCCTAGAGAATATGCACTGGAATTCAAATAAAACCTGAAGCCAGCTTCAGGTCAGATTCAGATGCAACCACTGAAGTTAGACCTGATCTAGTCCATTTCAGAACTTGTAGCCTTCATTTTCTAATATCTCAAGTCATCATTCTGATTTTTCCCCTCCCTTCTTCTAGCTTTTTACATGTTCAGAAGCCCACAGAGAGGAATTAAGAATGTCTACCTTAGCTCTTGTCATCTGCTCAGTGCGAGTCAGGAGGTCATCCACTTCTAGCTGCAAGTCACTCTTGTCTTTTTCCAGTTTCTGCTTGACCTGCTGTAGATGTTCTATCTGGCCCTCGAACTCGGCCAGGCTATCTGCATGCCTCTTTTTCAAAGAGGCAGACATTGCCTCAAAGTGCTGCGTGGCCTTTTCCATATCTTGGTGAAGCTTCTGAAATCTTGCTTCTTGGTTCTTATTTATGTCCAACTGGGCCAAACTGGCTCCTCCTGCCTCCTTCAGCCTCTCATTCAAATCTTCTAGGTCTCGGATGAGGGCATCTTTCTCTCTCTCTACCCTGGCCCTAGTGGTCTTTTCAGCCTCCAATTCTTCTTTCAGATTCCATACATGATTCTGAGAAATATATATAATTTTAACATATAAGTACTTACAATAAACACATTCTTTATTCAAGAGATTTATTACATTCTTTTCTTCTCATAACAAAACAGATAAAAAGACACTTTTTATTTCCAAATTATGATTAAAAAATATAGAATATATGCAAGTTAAATAATTTCCCCAAATCAATACCAGCATCTAAATTAGAACTTGCATTTCTTCCAGATCTGTCAGCCCTTAATGATAAACAACATCAGTACATTATACATGGAGAGACAATCTTACTAAAGAGCACTTCCCAAAGGAATAAGAAGTTATTTTCATATAACCAGAAAAAAAAACATTTAAACATAATTTATCAAAAATAATGAGTGAATTTTATTTGAAAACCCCTACTCATCTATAATTTGTCTACTTGACAATCTCAGCTATCAGGAACTCTGCAAGAAGCTGACTGGTAGAATGAACATCAAGTGCAAGTACCTTAGTCTTAAGGAAAAATATCAATTTAATTTTACACATGATTCTAACAAACTTAATTTGTGGTTTTTTAGCCTGTAGGAGACTCCAAGTATAGGAGATTTGCAGCCACAAACGAGAATTGGTGGAGGATCACGGACTACTAACATGAATAGATATCTGAAACCATTAGAGGCACAATGATCAGAAAAAGGAAAGTGTAAAAACTCTCAGAGCCCAAATCCTCTTAATGTTGGGGGCAATTAGTTCTACAAATCTTGATAATTGCATTGCATGGAGCACAGTGAAGCCATTAACATTCATTAACATCACTTCAAGTAACTAATCATATATTACAATAAGGAGGAGAAAAGATACAGTTTGCATGTTTTCCTTCCCATTCATTAGGAATATCATGGCTTAGAGAAAGCTGATATTTAAGTCGTATCAACTAGTCTATCAGTTCTGTAGACAAAGTACGACAGAGAACATATGATTTCCACTTGTAAATAAATTTGATCCCCTGACAACTATGGATTATCACTCATAGGATTCAATACATTTATCACAAACAATGTTGTCCCTGAACCAAACACTTCTGAAACATTTCTTCAGAAACAATCATTGGAGAAATTTTTGAAGTTGTTAAGGTAGGAAAATTTGTCTTTTGGATAATTGGAAATAATTACTTTTTCAATTTGGATAAATGACAGTCACTTGGTGATTAAAGTTATTTCTGAAAATAACTCCACTCACAAAGCATAAAACTAGCTATATCATTTGACTCAAAATGTCTCAGAACTATCAAAAACAGAGCTCCAAAAGTATAATGAAAAATATCCATTTGTATGCATATGTGCCTCTGTGCATGTATAATTACTTTATATATTTTTATTATTTTATAACAGTGATGTTGTATAGTCTCATAATCTAAAAATTATAGCTATCAGTTATCAAATAACACTTTGAGCCTAGAAGTACTTTAAGATCTACTGATTTTCAGTATAAAATGCCATCTAATCCCAAAGTAATTATAAAAACTAAACTACTAAAAATGAACACATACTCTGGGGCATGCCCTGTGCCTAATAAATATATTATTTCATTTGATAGTATTAGCTCAAAGGATGCCAGGATTAATGACTAAAAATATACATGCCCATGATTTTAACACACTGCCTACTTTGTTCACGCCAAACATTCAACAAATAAGCTATAATTGTTGCTAATTATCCTCATGATAAGAAAATACAAGTTTAAAAGTAATTGTCCCTAATGTCCCCAATGTGTGGAATTTGGTTTAGTTTCTTAATCATTGTTCTTTCTTTCTTCCATCTACAGTTGGCTAAGGGTCTAGATACCTTGGCAGATCATTTGTCATTGATAAAATATCCATCGTTCATAGATTCAGATACAAGTACACATAGAAATTGATACATGATTACCTGAAGCTCTTTAATCATCTTCTGATGTTGAGTCACAAGGCCTTTTTCACTTTCAATCTTTGAATTCATCTGACACATTTCTAATTCTTTCCTGTTTAGGAAAAGGTTTAAAGTGGAATTGTCCAAGAATAATATTGCATTTAAATATTTTTAAATTATACACACAACATAGGAAAACATTCTTATTAAGAAAACTCAACCATTACATTTCCATTTGCTGTCATTTTGGTTATTAAATCCAACCCTTGTTATCTTCCTCAAGGGAACTGCTATTATGCATTTGTTAAAAATCTTTCCAAATTTTTTCCAAATATTTACTTGGCTATGTGTAGATTTGTAAATGTAGTTGTAGAAAGTTTCAATTTCTTTACCATGAAAGTTATTATATACATAATCTACAATTTATTCCTAAATCAAACTTACTCTTCTCCAAATACATTGAAGAAGTTTCTATGCTGGCCCACATAGAGGTTATTGCTTCACTTAAAAAGTAATTACAACACAGCGTTCCATGGTGAAGACCAACTATAGTTGATCTGTGAATTCCCCTATTAGTAGGCACCTTGGTTTCTCCAGTATTTTGCTTTGGCAAGCAACATTGCTGAAATACATGTTCCTTTGTCAAGGCTATTCTAGAGTAGATACTGGGCAGGAAACTGCTGGAAGATTATATTGAAAACATTTAATATCCTGCCCTTTTCTCCCCAGTAGCGATATGAGATCATTATTTATCTATTTTTGCTTTAATATAAGCTTATATATAATTTTAGAGAAGAAATTAATACTTTATTGCTTTATTCCCAATGTCCTTTTGAACCAATGATGTTATCTTTTCAACAGTTACTACTTTTAAATGGCCAAAACATCAAATAAACTGCCTGTTTGTTTTCTGCCTATTAATTCTACCAGATTAATTAGTTATTAAACTATAGACTTCCTGTAAATATTCTTAACATTTACTTTCTCATATCTACTGCAAATAATGCTAATTCTATAACTCGTCTCTTCTTCATATTGGTTATGACTACAGAAATATTTAAAATTTAATGTAGTCAATCTATTAATTTTTTATGTTCTTGATTTTTTTGTAACTTGGGAATTTAAACTCCCAATTTCCTGAGACTTACTCATCATATTCACTGTATCCCAATATTTTCACTGATAGTTTTGCTTATAATAAGGATAATTAATGAGATCTATCCTTTTAACAAATTTTAAGTTACAAATGCACTATTTTGTGTGTGCGTGTGTGTGATGCTGGGAATCAAACCTAGGCCCTTGCATATACAAAGCAAGAAATCTACCACTGATAGCCACGTCTCCAGCCCCTCAGAATGCACTGTTATTAACTATAGGCACAATGTTAAACAGATTTTTAAAATTTAATAATGATACCTTAAGCTTTATTCCTACTGAAAGGCAATTCTGCATTCCACTTCATCCAGTGCCTAGCAGTAACCACTCTGTCACTATCTTAATTATCTCATATTAGGTAAATTATGTAGTATTTATTTTTTGTGACTGGCTTATTTCACTTAACATAATGTTCTCAGGATTCATCCATGTTATTACTTATGGCAAGTATTTTCCTTTTTTATTATGTTTTAATTTATATTTTAAAGGGGGTAAAATTAAACACAACAAAATAGGACATAAGAAAGCAATGTAAGAGATATAAATTTCAAAGCTAGATGACCTGAGATCTTCACTGTCTATCATATTGTCTCTTGTTTTCTTCCAAATAATTGTCCATGTCTTCACATACAGAGAATTCATACAAAACAACATAGTATAAAACTGATCTGAAGAGAATGAGGAAGGCCTTTTAGGCCCTCAAAACCAGACAATTGGGAAGTCACTAATGGCTGTCGTAGAGTCTCTTGTTCTCTTCAAAATAGCTGTCCATACTTTCATGTATATTGAGGTTCAACAAAGCAAAACAGGCAAGGGGAGAGGGGTTGCCTGGTTTCCCAGTGCTCCAGGTCCCAGCAAACACTGGTGGCTTCCGTCCTGGGCCACCACAGCCTGCCACGCTCACAGCCATTCATGGGGCAGGGTGGGTGGGTTGCTTCAAGCTGTTTCTGTCTAATGAATTGATCATTTCACTGCCCAAGTTCTGAAATGGCCAACAGACCATAGAAAGATATCTCTTCTGCTTAAAACCAACAGCATCAGGAAGGTGTTTTAGGCCCTGTTGATTCAGGGCCAGGAAAAGTATTTTCTTATTTAAAGAATGAATGATGCTAAGACTCTCAAAAAAGAAAAATAAAGGATGAATAATATTTCATTCCCTGTAGATACCATGTTTTGCTTCTCCTTTATCCTTCAATGGGTAGTCAGGCAGTCTCCAAAGCTTGGCTGTTGTAAATAATGCTGAATCTTTTAACAGGGTTATAACTTTGTTTTCATGCTGAATTCTTTAATGCAGCTGAATTTTGTGTTCACAAGTAGAGTGAGGTGAACACATAGCTTTAACATTGAAGGAAATTAATGGCTAGTAATCCCAAAACAATTTAGTGACTATCTTATCACTAATTTGAAATGCCATCTTTAACTGTGTTGTTTCAAGAACTCTTAATTCCACTTAGAGAAAAGGTTTTATGGTGAAGTTATAGCTTCCTTAACATATAGACTTATAAAACTCTGAAACTCTTTGAATCATGGCCTACAAAGGAGTATTACTTTTACTTTACTGAGTTGAAATGCAGTCTTCAAAACTGAGTGCTAGGGAAACTCTGTGATCTTTTTGCCTTACACCATTTCATCATATTCATTTGGGTATCTAGTTCATCTTTTTTTTCAGTCAGATTTTACTGGTACACTTTAGATACACATATTCTCAAGTTCTTATTGACACTAACATATGTTTTTAAAAGTCTTGATGTTTGTAGTTTAAAGATTTTAACAAAGTAGGATTTTTAATGTTTAAATATTTATTTTTATTGATTGACTGATTGATTGCCTTTTGAGACAGAGTCTATCATGTAGTTCAGGATGAACTTGAACTCACCATGAAGCCCAGGCTGATCTCAAAATCCTGGCAATCCTCCTGCCTCAGTCTCCCAAGACCTGGGGCTACAGGCATGCATCATCAAACCTGGCTTGGTTTTTATACACTTTTAAAAAGAGCTATTTATTGCAAATGATCTTGGTCTGACAGGATGAGAAGAGAGTCATGGGCCACACAAAACAGTTTTAAGTGCTTCTCTCTGCTTCCCAATTTTAGTCCCCTTACATGCTGTTGCCTTCTGGTAAGGGCTTCTTTAACTTTATAGTAAAGCAAGAGCAGAACTATACCAACAATTCACCTTTCTATTCTGCTTTTATTTCATGGTTTAATGTTGAAGTTTGTTCTTGCAGAGTCACATGGTTTAGATTTTGTACCACAGTCTCTCCAGCACACATTGTACAAAGGTGTTATTGGTGACTCTGGGCCAGATGCTACAGTACTGGGTGAGTCCTGCTGGTTTGGTTCATTTATTCATTCATTTATTTTGATCCTGGAGATTGATCTCAGGTCTCTCATGAAGTAGCAGTGAGCTCTACCTGCAGCCCCTTAACTGTCTAGGGATTATAAAGATAAATGTTTAAAAGGGATATGGTATTTCTTTCTCCTTGGATTTTTTATTAATGGAACTAATTTATGAAGAAGTGCTAACAGTGATCATCAACCCTGCAGTCCAAAGTTAGAGATTTTATGGTGCAAAGAACATAACAAGGTTGTGGGCGGATGCGACAGCATATGCCTAGAGTCCCTGCTATTTGGCAGGCTAAGGCAGGAGAACTGCTTGAGTTTAGGAATTCAGGACCAGCCTGGAAAATATGGAAAGATCCATTTCAAAAAAAAATAAAATAGGTAAGGGGAAGATGATATAGAAAAACAGGTGAATGACTGAATATAGATTAGTAATAAAAGAGCATATATGTCATACAAACTAGTAGCATCTAAAATGATTCAGACTCATCAGGTGTGATGGAACACACACACACACACACACACACCTGTAGTCCTGGCACTCAGGAGACTCAGGCAGGGGATCACCGTGAGTTTGAGGTCAGCCTGGGCTACATAAGGGAGTTCCAAGCCAGGCTTCACTACATAGTGACACCCTGACTCATAAATAAATAAATAAGATTCAGACTCAAATACAATACATATAATTGTTGTAAAATTTGAAGATAAGATCTAGGTGTGGTGGCATGTGCCTGCAGTACCAGCATTGTCTTAAATTATATGATACGTTAGTGTCAATAAGAACTTGAGAATATGTGTATCTAAAGTGTACCAGTAAAATCTGACTGAAAAAAAGATGAACTAGATACCCAAATGAATATGATGAAATGGTGTAAGGCAAAAAGATCACAGAGTTTCCCTAGCACTCAGTTTTGAAGATTGCATTTCAGCTCAGCAAAGTAAAAGTAATACTCCTTTGTAGGCCGTGATTCAAAGAGTTTCAGAGTTTTAGAAGTCTATATGTTAAGGAAGCTATAACTTCACCATAAAACCTTTTCTCTAAGTGGAATTAAGAGTTCTTGAAACAACACAGTTGAAGAGGTGAGTTCTGACACACCACTTCCACATTCACTCATTTGTGTATTTATGAAACACTTAAGAGTATGCCAGGCACTGTTCTAGGGCTTATCAGGGAAGGACCAAAGTCTCCAATTTTGTAACATTTATATCGATCATTTCACTAAAATTATTCCTTTTTCTTTTGTGATTCTGGGGATTGAGCCTACAAGCTCATGGTAAATGAATGCTTTACCACTGAGCTTCCTGAAACCCTGAAATCAACAGTTTCTCCAGGTTGCCTTGGCTCCCTTTATGAAGAATGGCAGCTTCATCTTTTGCAAACACTTTGCAAGGTTGGTAACTAGTAGAACATTAGTCAAGTCTCTCCAAGGGCTATATAGTGGCAACACACATGCACAAAGCTAGAAACTCCAAACTGCTAACTTGACATTCTTCCTTTTTTTACTGTGGATCCCAATTACTGACACACTTCCAGTTTTAATGGCTTTACCTGATGTTTACACCTCACTATTTTCTCCTCTTCTGGACCTAATATAAATAAGTTGGAAATCCCTAGAGGTTAATACGCCCTCAAAAAAAAAAGACAACCAAAAAATTCAGATAAAACAGAAAACAAAAGAGCAAAGTAAGAAAATCTGCTCCATGAACTGGGAGAACTGAAAGAGCCACCTTCCCTTAAGTTCTTTAGGATATAAAGAATCCATGTGAATATGTAAACTGAAAGTCTCCCCAGTGTTTATCATTTTCAAGTTTCATTTAAATTTTAAGACATAATTTTTATGTAGTAAATTGCTTGACCCAAACAAAACTTTATATAAAGATTAATGAAGGTATATCAGGCAACAAATACTATTTAAGTGGTCAAGTGATATTTCGAACTTCGCATCAAGGTCAAAATTTTTTACACTGCCATTGGTGTCACTATGAACAAAAGTGAATTGTTTTCACTTTTTGATTAGTAGTCTCAAATTTCCAATAATCCATATCTAACATGCTTTATAACTTTCTTATCTGCTGGCCAAATACCTTCCTAGGCATGCTTTCTAGATCATGTATTTTTTTCTCTGTTTAATACATAAGTGGTAAAAACTAAAATAGATAGATACATAGATATTATATAATAATGAAGTCCAGCAAAAAAAAAAAAAATTAATTCCTCGGCCTTTTGTCTTTGCCTAAGGTCCCAAGACACCTGGCCTGGGTTCTCAGACAGGTGAAATGAGGAAGCTCTGCCTTCCTGCTCTGGAAGCCCCGTAGCGGCAAGGCACTTACCTCCTCAGCTGTTCTGCCAGCTGCCACTGGCTGTGCTCCAGGTGCTCCACATTTTCCTGGGTCACCTTTAAATCACCCTCCAGTTTGTGCTTTTCTCTTTCACAGTTCATTCTGGCTTTCCTCTCCCGCTCAAGGGTACCCTCCAGCTGACAAAGAGAAAGATTATTTAACCAAATGCATAGGTGGACTTTATACTTTACTAATATAAGCAAGTATAAACATAGATTCTGTAAATAATGCCTACATACATAAGTACTTTAAAATAAAAATTGCATGTATCAGTAAGTTAGCCTAAGAAACTAAAATGATGATCATGGAAGAAAATTCTAGAGAGTATAGACATTGGGTTCTTTCTCAGAAAGGAACAGATAACACATGACCAGTTGATGTCTGTTGGATCACTTTTCAGTAAGGGAAATCTTACTTCTTCACATGGCAGTTTATCTCTTGGATAGGAGAATCCATTAACTCAGAAGTATCTCTTTATAAAAACTCAAAATATTCTCTTTAAATTCTACCCACAAGTTCCAACCAAGCTATCTGTGACAACAAATAAATCTAATCTATCTTGATGTAAGAATGCATAAATATCAGCAGCCCTCCCAAATAATTCTGAGTCTTTCAAACAGGTCTCACATAATTCCATGCCTCATTCACCCCTTTGGTATCCTCGTCCAGTTCATAATATCATATTCTTTTTTTCCCCCAGACTTGGAATTTGTCTTCTCTTAATGGTGGCAAGATCCATAGCCTATAATTTGTAATTTTAATCATTTTTTCAGTGTAAAATGCAGTAATGTTAAGTTCATTCACACTGCATATTATCCCTTGCCACCAATCATCTTCAGAATTCTTTTCATGATGCAAAACAGAAATTCTGTACACATAGAGTAATAGTTGGCTCCCAAAACCCCTTACCCCAATAACCATGGCATCACAGCATTATGAGAACATCTTTCCTTTTAAAAATTGAAGTTCCACTATATGAATATATACCACAGTTTGCATTTCCGTTCATCCACTGACAGACACCTGGGTTGCTTCCACTTACTGACTGTGGTGCATAATGCTATGAACAGGGCATACAAATAGTTCTTCAAATTCCTGTTTCCATTCTTTTGAGTATATACTGCAATTGCTGGAGTACACGGTATTTCAACTGTTAATACTGAGGGAAATTGCCATACTGTTTTTCCCAGAGGTTGAACTCTTTTATATTCCTACTAACAGTACAAAAAGGCTTCAATTTCTCTACAACCTAACAATTGTTACTTTTTTATGATAGTGGCTATCCTAAAGAGTGTAAGGTGGCATAAAATTTGTCTTTTAATTTAACTCACTTAAATTTTCTATAAGGGTTATATTATTATTTCCTAATTTATTCTTCTAAACTTTATAATTTTTCTGTATCTTTATTGTTTTTTCCCTTGCTTTCTAACCTACCATTGGTTAGATTAGGTTTTTTATTTCTGGGTTGCTTCATAAATGTTAATATTTCTAAGTCTAATCTTTATATCTCAGTATTTGAGGAGAATTTTTCCATCTTACCTTTGCTGCTATTATGGTTTTTTAAATTAAGACATTATTTTACTATCATCTTTAGGACTTACAGTAGCCTAATACAATTATAAAGTGTTTAGTAATCAAACTGGGATATTAGTTATACCCATTTCTTCAAACATTAATCCTTTGTGTATTGAGAAATTTATACTTACATAATCATTTTAAAATATATCATGGATTTTTTTATTAAAAAATTAAAATAAAGAAGGAGATTAAGATAAAAGAGGACATAACAACATAATAACACAGGTCAACAGAAAAATTTAAGCCACATAGTGTTTCACCACAAGATAACCCAACATTAACATAGTTACCATAGAGTCTTTTTCCTTGAAGTATTTGAGTATAACTTCGTATATTATAGCATCAAACACAACATGACAGTGTAAAACTATTCAAGAGAATGAAAGTATTTACAGGGTATTTAGAACCAACTAACAGAAAATGAACAATGGTTTCTATATTATCTCCTTGTCTATAAAAAATTTTGTTTATACTATCACATATAATAAAATCCAATAAGATGCAACATGATAAACCGATGGAGACAGAAGAACAAAAGCTTCATGGGACTTCAAAACAAGATGATATTAAATCAGCATTAGTTATTATATTGTCTTGTTTTTCCAAATAACTGTTCATACCATCACAGACAATAAAATCAAACATAGAATAAAACCATTCCAATTAATGAATGGAAACATTACAAGGCTTCAAAGCAATATAATGGGTAATCATGTTTACCACATACTTTTATGTACTCTTACCATTTCTTACACTAGGGAAACTACTTGGTATTTATACTTGAAAGTTTGATTTATTTCACTTATGAGTATGGTCTCAAGCTGTGCCCATTTATTTATAAATATCTCAATGAATCATGGATTGTTTTAACCTACTGACCCTACTACTGTCAAGAAGAACCCAAAGTAATTCCTGAACTTTGTGCCTTGGTGCCCTGTATTGAAGCTCTGTCCACCTCCCTTCACCCCTGCCCTTCACTGTGTCTAATGACTGCTATTCCTTTCCACTGTTCTATAAGATTCACTTAATCATTTCTACACACAGTAAGAACATGATGTGGTATTTGTGTTTCTGTGCCTGGCTTATTTCACTCAACACAATGACCTCTAGTTCTATCTCTGAGGCTGCAAATGACAGGGTTTCACTCTCTTTTGTGGTTAAATGGATTGCATTGTGTAAATCTGCCAAATTTCTTCATCTATTCACACACTGAAGGGCAACTGCATTGATTCCCTATTTGAGTAGCACTGTGATAAACATGGAGCACAGTATCTTCTAATGATATTATATCTTTTGTATATGTACTCAGAACTGAAATTCCTGAATCATGTGATAGTTATATCTTTCATTCTTTGAGGAATCTTCACATTGTTTTCTACAGTGGCTGTACTAATTTATATTTTCACCAGTAACGTTTGTGTTTCCTTTTCTTATCATCCTCACTAGTACTTGTCATTCTTTGTCTTTTTGAAACAGCTGCTCTAACAGGGTGAGAAATTTCATTGTCATTTTGATTCACTTTTAGTGAAATTAGCATTTTTCATGCGCTTTTTGGCTATCTCTGTATGTCTTCTTTTGAAAAATGTCTGTTTAGTTCATTTTTAGCTTTATTTCTTGTTCTTTGGTGTTCGGCTTCTTGAGTTCTTTTTATACACTTAATATCAGTCCACTGGTTTGCTAATATTTCGATAGTTTGCTAATAGTTTCTCCCATTCTATATGCTGTCTTATTTCTGTTGATTATTTTGCTGTGTGAAAGGTTCTTTGATATAATCCCATTTGGCTACTTTTATGTCTTTTTAAGGTTTTTTAGTACATGTTTGCAATACATTCCCTATGTGGATCTATCTGAAAAAAAAAATCATTGGCTTGTGCCATTTTCCTTTCTGTTGGTACAAACCCACTCACTCTGAGTATAACATCACCTAATTACACTTCATTAAACTTTGCTGCTTTTTCCTATCAACAGTATCACATCCAATTCTCTGTTGCATACAAGAAACTATAAATCCATCCCAGATCTCATAGCCCACAACAACATCTTGGCAATCCAACAACAGGGGGTAAAAAGTAACACGGAGATTGCAAAGACCTCAGTTCTGCCTTTAAACTACAAATGATGATGATCCAATCTAGGAACCTAAGACTTCCTCTGAATCTATGACTTATCAAGACATCCTCAGAGGAGGAGCAGGCTCCCTTAGCTCCCTAGGTAAGGTAGAACAAGAATCCCATAGTCTTCTCATAGGTAGGGCCATTGTCCTTTTCAGCAGGAAGTAGTTATAGAAGATAGACATTCCACCCTCAGCACCTCTAATAGATTTTCAGGGTCTTTTGGAGGGGTAAATAACATAGTGGTTAGGGCTACAAGACCACTCTCCTCTATTCACTTGAACTTGGACAATGTCCCAGGGCCAAGACCCCAAACTTTATCCTAAGGTCTACTACCCTGAGGTATAGATAAGAAAAACAAATTCTGGAAAATTCTGAAGTCCAAACCAGGACACATGATCACCAGATTCTCTAGTATCTCCTACAGTAAGCATTTTTTAGTTGGAGCTCATTAAAGGTCTCGCATATGGACTGCATCTCACACATTCAATGATAACAGAGTGAATTACAGGAAAGAACACGCACAGTAGACACAGCTGATGTGATCAGATCCCTATTGATCATCCTGAGACCCCACCACAACATTTTAAATTCTTAAGCGTAAAGCCTCAGACCATTATTTTTCTTTCTCCCAGCACGAGTTTACTCACTGAGCATCCTATCACCTAATTACACTTCATTAAACTTTGCTGTTTTTTTCCCCTAGAAAGGAAAAAAACATTTCCTGCATCAGTGGCTTAAAGTCTTCAGGACATATGTGACATCCAGTTTTGTCTGGATTAGTGCTGCCAACAGTGATACAGATATTAATTTAGCAAGAAGCTATGTACTAAGACTATTTGTTTACTGACATGTGTACTTTTTGCCAGTGGAAGATATTTCCCATAACTAGGAAAAACCGTCAAGTAAATTAACTGATTGAAACTCTGGAGGTATGTATCTATGTAGACAGTCAGATAACGAGCTAAATTTGTTGTTACCCACCTCATCTACCTGTTGTCCCAGCTTCAGGTTTGCTATGCTCAAGTCACTGAGTCTCTCCTCCTCTGTGTTCAGGTAGTCTTGAGTCCGCTGATAGGCTTCCTGCACATCTTTGGTTGCTCTGTTGAGTTTGTTAATGTCCTCCTTCAGAGAGTCCACCTCCTCTGTCAGGTTCTTGACCTGTGAAAAGAAGACCAGGACAGCTTCATTACCCGGCCACCACTAAAGGACTGGGTTTAATGCCAAAGCTTATGCTGTCTCTCCCACTATCTGAAAACTCCAGTGTCAGGAGCTAAATTTATCCAAATTCCTGACATACTTTCTAAAACTCTTAACTCACTTTTTCTTCCACAAAAAGTAATGTGTAATCTAGAAAGACCAGAAATGGATACTCTGGTAAATCAAGTATTATCAGTGTTGTGGATTATATGGTCAATTAATTATGGCAGAACAAAAGACAAAAAAGAAAAAAAATTATGGCACAACAACAATAATTCAAGTCAAGGTTATTTAGCTTTCTTTTGAGGATTCAGAGGTCATGTCCTAAGCATCTTGTACCTCACTCACTCAAGAAAGAAGGTTCTAGCACACAGCACTTGCAAGAGTGTAAGCCAGCTATATCTGGCTCATGTGCTTTTTATGAAAGTGAATCAGTAAATATAAGAGTTGTTATTTAATCATCTATCAAATCATAGTTTCACTTTGGAGATTAGTTGTTTATCAAAGATTTGATTCAGACACTTTACCAATACCAGTCCTCAAAAGATGATCAATTTAAAACCCAGGACTAAAAAAAAAATGCTGAAGTCTGTAACAGAATTAAAGATACTTCCAAGATTGAACTCCAGATCATTGGGAGAGCAAGGGATACGGACACATCCCAAATCACCTTTTAGGAAATCACATCATGTTCACTGTTGATCCAAAAAGGATACTTAGAGGCCTAATGAAACTATTTTTGCACTTCATATGAGATTTTATCAGATAAAAAATTTGAATGAATAAAACGTTTCATTTGAAAGATTGATGGGCTCTGTAAATTGAAATTGAAAATCTGAGTTAGGACAACACAGTTCCTCAGACATTAATTTTATTCTGATTTGATCTTCACCCTGTAACATTCCAAGCTACTAACCATAGCACTTCTGGTACCTATGAATTTGAGAGTGAAATTCAGGCATCTATGCCTGCCTAACATCACGGAAAAAGTACCTTGTGCTCCATAGCATGCTTCTCCTTCTCTGACTTGGCCAACATTGTTTCCAGGTCATCGATTTCTTTCTTCAACTCAAAACATTCATCTTCGAGTTTCCGCCCCCTGGCAGTCAGCTCGGAATTTATCTCCTCTTCTTCCTCCACACGCCTAGACAGCTCCTTGACTCTGGCCTCCAGCTGGATCTTGGATTTAATCAGCAACTCGCACTGCCCTTCAACATTTGCCAGGTTCTCTTGCTCCTGCGATGATGAGGAGAAAATTGTTGCCAACAGCTGGAAGTAATTTATCAGCGGGGCGAAAACGCTGCTTCCCACACTGCCAAGAGATAATGGCCTGCCCTCTGCCCAGTGCTTTTACCTTCCTTTCCTAGACAGCTGAAGCAATATTCCCAGTCCCCAATTCTATTGTTGAGAAGTGGAGGAGCTGCTGGTGTTTAGAAGTGATTTTAATCTTTCGGGCCCATTTAGTAGATTAAATGACCTCATCTAAAGCACTTAATAGAATTCTGGTGGCCTAAAGGAGCTAGCGCGCCTCTGAAACTTAGCAGTGTGTGCTTAAATCACAGCGTCTAGGAGGATTGATGTAAGCACATAGCTTGAGGTTGATACCTGCTTAAAATATGGTCTTTTCAGACATTAGTTTTCTTGTAGACAATGTAATGTTTAGAACATTTTTTTATAAGTGCCCTGGTGTACTCACTTAAATAAATGTACATATAATAAATTGAAGTGAGCAGTAATTTTAGACATAGGTTGAATTTATAATTCATGTGCTTATTTGTACTCCACTAACTAAACTTCACTATTATTTTCAACAAAACTTGTTCCTCAATGATTCTCCCAGCAGTAGGTTTCACAACTTCCCTACACAAAAAATAAAATAATCTTTCCTTTAACTCCTCACATGTACTGCCTTCAAATCTTCTTGAGGGGCACGTTGTTTCTGAGTTACATCAAGGAAACAGTGAAGCATTTTTAAATTATAGAGCACATTTCATAATTTTGAATCTTTTAACTTGTCTTCTTTAAAGGATAAATAAAAATCACTCCTTGTGTGGAAGTTTTTAAATACTCTAGGTATGATTGAAATATAATTTTTGACATATCTTCGCTGTAGGGTGGATAACACATGTTTTACAAAGGCCCATGTATTAGAGGGTCAGTACTCAGTGTGCCACTATTAAGAGGTGGAGTCTTTCCTAGCTGGCTGGCTGGGCCGTAATGACAGGGATTTTTTTTTTTTTTTAATACTGGGATCGAATTCATGACCTTGTGCTTACTGGCAATAGTTAGATTTTGTTGTTGTGATTGTTGTTGTTCCAAGCTACCGTTTATTTTTTTATTTTTATTTTATTTTTGTATTGAGGAATCAAACACAACACGACCAAGTACTTGCAAGTCGGGCATTTATGTCACTGAGCTAAATCCCCAGCCCCTGGTAATGAGAGTTCTTAAGGTCACTGGGGACACACCCTTTAAGAGAATCGTGGGATGCCAGTCCCTTTCTTTCTCTTCTGCTTCCTGGCCTGGACGTAAGTGATTTGTATTACCTGCAGCTGGCTGTCATCCAGCAGCCATCAGAAGCTTAAAAGCAATAGCTGTGTCTCGTCATGAGCTAAAACTTCTAAAACTGAGCCAAAATAAATATTTTCTTTTTATAATTCAATAGTCTCAGGTATCTCTTTATGATGAAGGACAGTAACTAATATTGTCTAAACTGGCATACCGTGGAGGATGAATGATAAAGTCTATCGATCATTCATCCTCAACAATCTGCCAGTTTAGACAATTTGCCATCTACTTGAATTTCTTAAATTGTGTGTCTTGTCACCAGTTCAGACTAGAACACTGCACTTGAGATACGAGCTGCCCAAAGAAGACACACAGAGCCAGGAGAATGTCTCATGTGCCTTATTTTTTCTGTCCAATTGCACTGTCGTTTAGCCATGGCTCATCTCTTTATTTACCTGCACACACTCAGCCACTTAGCCAGACATCCAGTCCCCCAGGCAGCCCACCAGCCCTCATAGTTGGACAGATTTATGGCAAAATATACAATGGTGGCTATGTGCCAGTATTGATCTTGGTTATTTACAAAAAGTTATTTACAAAAGACCACAAGGTGTGCCTGCTCTGGAATTCTTCTGACTTGGACTTAATGGAGCCTAGAAATCGCCTCCACTCCTAGCCTGAACTATAATCTTCTTGGGTTTCATTTTTCCCTACATTGTGTCAGCTAATTAGATGAAAAGCAGAATAAAGGTAAAGAAAATTAGGCTATTGGATTCTAGGTAATTCCTACTTAAAGAATAACTTTCTGTACAACAAAGAGGGTTCGAAAGGATCTACCTCATTAACATATCTGAGGTCTAAGCATCATCTCTTTTACTTTTAATATTTCACAAATGTAACTGACACAAACTCAAAAGTTTAAACAGCACTTTTAAGAACGCAACTAGTTAGTAATGTTGATTTGAACCAAAGAAAAAAGTAAGAAGACAAAAATCAGGAAATGCAAAGTCCAGCATGGTGGGTGACACCTGTAATTCCAGTGCTATTATATAGCAACCAGCTATCTGACAGTTTCTCTTTTCCAAAGACATCCTGCCAATGAAATGACTTCATTATGAAAAAGGGTGCCTTCTAAAGCTTTCCCACTGTTTGATGATGACCTATGGCATTTGAAAAGTTCCTACTTTCATTTATTGTTTTGTTAAGTTTTTCAAGTTAACACTGCTTATTAAACAAAGGAACATAACCAAAAACTAGATGTAAAGAACATGGGGGAGGTCCACTCACGCCTTGTAGTTGAAGAAGCAGGTTATTCTTTTCCTGGTTGAGGGAGACTTTCTCTGCTTTCAGGACCTCTCTCTGAGATTCTGAATTCTCCAAGGCTTTCTGCAGTTGTGCATACTCTTCCTTTAATCTGGCTCCTATGCCCATAGACTTAATAAGGGGTTTGATCTTGAGGAAGAGCCTCATCCAGGTCCAGTTCTGGACAGCAATGAAAGCTCTTATGTTCCACTGGATCAAAAGAATTGCATCCCTAAATCAAGAGTGAAAAAAAGACAAATCAGTGTAGACTATAAAAGTTCTTTGCATAATAAAATATCCTTGACAAGCACACCTTTTAAAAGTCACTACACACTTTCATTATTCTTTAGACCATATCTTTATCTGGGTTTCCAGTTGATTCTGACAATAATTCTATGAAGGGTTTCTGGATCTAGCTATTTTATGGGCTAGATGACCTAAAAATACTACCATCACAGATATCTTTTAAACCATCTTTGGGGCAACTGGGACTCTTGTCTCTTGTCTCTTGCAGCTAGAGAGGACATCTCCTGTGTAAGTCAGTCCCCATACTGCTTCTGGGAAGATACTTCCTCTTAAATTAATAACAACCATCTCCTTTGCACCAAGACAATCAGTGTCTCTCTCATTTAACTCTGCACTTTCAACTCTGACTCTTTCCTGAGACGAAGACAACACCTGAGTCAACCTGAGAGAAATTACCACAGTCCTGAAATTCTGAAAACTCTCCTCCCAGAGGTAGGAGCCACCTCTGGGACTGGCCATCAACTATGCCACTTCAGGGCAACCTTCATTGCTATCAGATGTCACAAGAAGCACAAACTGGCATCCAGCCACACATCAGCCACCTAAAGCAATACAGAAGCCTGATAGACTGTTCCTCTGTGGTTCCCAACCATACACCTTTTTAGGACTGTTATCTCTAGATGCCACCTGGTTCACATGTCTAGATTTAAAAGATGCCTTCTTCTGCTTGTGGGTTGCTCCTATGAAAAGATCTTGAGGCAGGACAAAAAGGCCAGCTCACTTAGATTCAATTGGCACAAGGGTTTAGAAACTCTCCCACTATTTGGGGGAGGCTTGAACAATAGATTTAGCTTCTCTGAGATGACTTGTTTCCCTCTCAAGTTCCACATTCTGTCGTGGTTCCTTAGGTCCTAAGTTTGGGCCATCAGCCACCTGCCTATGATTATGAAATCTCATCCTGAGGCAACTCCCACCTGCATCAAACAGTGTCCATACCACATGAGACTCAGATAGAAATTCAACCACACTTCCAGAAGTTTCAAAACTGCAAAATGTTTATAAATGGTCAAACTGCTGAAATAGACCTGTCCTTCCTATAAAGCCAGTTCAAGATCTCCAAGTTGCCAGGGCTACCACCACTGCTCTCCATGTGCATTACCTCAGTCTTCTACCATACACAATCTACTAATACACCTGCCTGGACCTAAAGAATTCCTTCTTCTCTCTTCATTTGGCTCCTGTCAGCCAACTACTCTTTGCCTTTAAATAGAAAGACCCCAGTTCTGAACTCAAAAGTCACCTGACCTGGATTCAACTTCCAGTGCTTCAAAAACTTGTTTTGCTGGTTCCTAGATGATTAATGACACCCAGGCTCCCTGATGGAAAGGCACAACAGCTCTGTTGCTATACCTGGCAGAAACTGATTATAAGAAAGAAATCCTATTAATTTATTAGAGGTGCTGGCTTCTATAGGCTCTTGATCCTTGAATTCACAAAAACAATGATGCTTATTCAGACTGTCAGTTCCTGAGAGCAATCAAAAGCTACCTGTACAAATACTTGAATCTGGTCACTAAAGGTTGCCTTCCCAACTTTGCCTTTGTGTTCTAACAGCCACTGCCCTTCTGATCAGGAAACGTGACAAGCTTACCTTAGACTAAGACCTAACTTTCCAGGCCACATGCTGTAATGGATCTCCTGAGTAACTGTGGACCACTCAATCTTGCCATGTACCTGCCACCAAGCTGGGCCCATCAGACTATGACTGTCTGGCCATGATACATAAACTTTTTTCCAGCTCACCAGACTTAAGAAATGGACCCTTTGATAGATGCCGAGTACATCCTGCATATGAATAGAAATAGCTCTGTTAGCAATGGAGTCTGACGGGCTGTGGTCATCTTGAACAGGGTTATTTTAATCACAGCTCTCCTAGTACTGATTTCTGCTACTGTTCAGAAACCTGCCACCAATGCAGAATAATTCAGAGGCCTAAGCCCCCTCTGAAGATTTGATTGGTTGAAACATCAATCCCATCCAGAAAAACTTTACCCAGCACATCCAGTAGATCAAATCGAGACCTCTCTCTACCATATGTTCTGCAAGATCAATCTGTAGCACTGATATCTGTACCCCTGCAGCCAGCTCAGGCTTCAGCATCTGTGTCACTGTCTCTGACCTCATGCAATATAGTAGATACTCCCTCATTTAAAGATAAACAGACTTCAAAGAAATAAAACTCACAGGGTTACAAATACCTGTTAGTGCTCATCTTTACCTGCTCTGGTCAGCCAAGACATTTGCTACTCATGCTAAAAAGCTAACAGGAGTTAATAGGGTCTTGCTATGAAACATCATCCCTAGATACACAAAGCCAAAAAAAGAAAAACCAAAACATAGCCTTACAGAAACAGCTTGTAATCAGTTAAAAGAGCAGCTATACCTGTAGACATTTCTGTATACATATACAGGGTACATGATAACTACCTCTACAAGTTTCAGAAATCCAGTCTTAGATCTGCTGGAGAATTTCCCTGGACAGCTCCTCCAGGGCTCACTCTAAAGAGGCAATACATTCAAAGCCCTGCTCTGATCACTCCAGATGCTGTCCAGTCCATGCATGCCTGAAGTCTAAGGACCTGAAATATTCCCCTTGGCCTTTCCAGGCTGCCAACCCCAGTCCTTGATTCCCTGCCCCACTGCTAGTTGTGGTTTTTGCCTTAAATTCTATGGACAGTTGTCCCAAGAAAATAGAACAATTAATGAAACACTTGGCCAAGATTTGATGAGCATCCAAGGCACGTGGACACACTCCTAGATCAGACTAATTCCCTCACTACCTTAACAGAGTTACATTACAGGGTAGACAGGCCTAAATTAGGTCTCTAATCTACAGGCAACTTAGGAAAATACTCTATAATACAATCTTGGTGACCTTGGCTAGGGACCATCCCAGCATCACTGACAACCATAATGTTATACTGCTTCTAGGTGGGCCTTGTCTCATGGGGTATGCACAGAAAAGATTTGCTGGGGAAATTAAAATAGGGGAGAAATGTAGCAGAATAAGCCCCTCTCCCAGCTAGTATGTTTCAGTTTGTTACTTGCCCAGATAATAGTTCCTGTTACTTTGGTTTCTTAGAAATGACTGGTCACTGTGTTGCACATCCAGTCCCTATGATGCATAGTATAAGAACCAAACCCCAAGTGATAAGTTATTCTACATTTGTGCTTCTTGCTTGCCTATCCCATGTAAACCCTAATCCACCAGAGATCAGGACCTGACATTTGAAGGATAATCTGTTCCTTGTCAGTGCCTGTCTGATGTTAAATAGTTCTGCCTCCAAATTCTGGGGGATGTTTTGGTGCTGCTTCTTGCTGTTGCAATACATTATTAAACCTGATTGAGCCCTGAAACTAACACCAGGCCAGCATGCACTAGGACTGGAGCAGCAATTATGAACCCTACCAGATAGCCTATCCAGAATCTCTGACTGAGATCATTAGTAAAGGGCTTTTCCTGCTGCAGCCACTCTTTAAAGAATGTTATATATATATATATATATATATATATATATATATATATATACATACACACACACACACACACACATGCATATATAGTTGTAGTCAGGGGTTGTAAACAGAACAATTAGGGTTAGGACACGGAGTTTATAATATTACTATAATGGTCACTGGGAGTTAACACAGGAAAATTCAGGAAATCTATCCGCAACACCAAAGACATAGATTATTTAGTCAAGAGCCTAAACCTCACAGCAGTGTCCCACATGAGTCCAGATAAAAACCCAGAGCTCAGAACAATGCCTCCCACAAGTCCAACTGGAGGTCCAGAACCCACAAGAAGGACTCATGCTAGTCTCTTTTACGGATCCGTGCAGGGAAGACCCAAGGGTCAGTGGTGGAAGCCAGAAAGTCTACGCCCACAGGATGAAGGAGCTGTGCTAGTGGGATGAGGGTTCTACACTGGAGCCGAGAAGTCACACTCACAACAAAGACCAGTAATGTCCTGAAAGGCACCACAGCTGTCCTCAGCGACACGGAAGCCCCGAGTCCCTCTAACAACAAGCACAGTCAGGTATGTGCCAGAAAGCAGTGTGAGGAGTTCATCCTGGAGACCAAGCCGCACATGTCTTCCCCTCCAGAGCCAGGAAGCAATGCTCGATGTAAGGACCAAAGCTTCTCCAGGAGAACCAAAAGCTCAGAAGCAACTCGTAGGAGAACCCACAATGCCTCCTTAAGGCCTCAACCCTCAACACCTCCCTTGTTCTCCACCTAATTATCCTGGCACCTTTCCTCAGGTGGAGCATCTTCGCTCAATGCCATGCTGATGTGTTCCAGCTGGCGTTAAGTTAACAAGCAGTTCTTAATCCATAACATATATATATATATATATATATATATATATATATATATATATCTTCAATTATGCAAAAATATAGTAATACAAGGATTATTAATTAGGAAAATGTGACACCAATGAAGTAACAAAATAAAGCTTCAGTTTCTGAGCATAAAGAAATGGAGAAACATGACCTCACAAAATCAGATACCAGAAATCAACACAAGATTCTTAAAATGAAGGCAAAATAAATGGGTACTTGGGGCAGCTACAAGGAAAAGGTTTAATTTTTTTTTTTTACTTTAAAGAAAAAGTAAATAAAATTTCAAAACAAAATAATAGGAGAGTGGGCCAGGTATTTAGCTCAGTGGCACACCAACTGCCCGGCAAGTATGAGGTCCTTGGTACAATTCCTGGTACCACCAAAAATAATAATAAGAGGAGAGTAAAAATAATTAATACTTTGCATATTGTTATATTCAAAGTAGTTATTCAGAGTACAAGATGTAAGCATGAAAAATCATCCAAACAATGGTAGCACAAACTTTTATTTACAATGAACTAAGAGACACTAGAAGTGTAACTGTCTTACCTATCCTGCCTTCCTTCCCTTTTTCTTTCTC